GCCTGAAGCAGGCAGGCTGCAACAGGTAGTCAGCCTGCTTAATCCCAGCCAGTTACAGGCATTCCAGGGATAATCCATGGAAAAGGAAGGGGGGGCTCTGAAAGCTTTGAAATCAGAGAAAATATGCCAAGAGAATTGTTACAGTACCTTTATGTTAAGACACACACACACACACACACACACACACACACACACACACACACACACACAAACTAGCATCTTTATAGATGATGTGTGTGAGCAATTCCTTCTTTGATAAACACTGACTGCACAAGCGAAAGTGTTACAACTGGTAATGTGGGGGAAGGGTGAAATGGTGTGTGTGTGTGTGTGTGTGTGTCATATTGACATATTGTGAGGCCCAACACAATGTTGCGAGGACCCATGTGCCTTATGGGGACAAATGCCCAGAGTCCAATGAGAGAAGTGTTGTTTTCAGGTTAAGGTGTGAGTTGAGTTTAAATCAATCTGCATTATTGCACATTTCAGCAACGAGGCAGTTCAATGTAGTTTATATCACAAAAACATCACATCATATTCACCAGTATGTTGGTCAATGTGTCATGAGTTGTAGTGGTGAGATAAACACAGTGGACCCAGGTTATGGTGAAAAAATTATGATTTAATAATAATAAGCACAATAATTCAGGCAGCACAGATGAGCAGAAGGGAAGAAGCTCAAAACTGGTAGCAACTGGTTAAAATCACAACGATGGTAGACTAGACAAGATAGTAGCATAGATGAGAACCCGACAAGGAAACAAGGGACACAGGTGGGTTTAAATACTCAGGGAGACAATCAGGGGAAACAAGGAACAAGTGTAACCAATCAAGGGGTAGACAGGACAACACAGAGACTCCACAGAACACAGAAACCAGTACCAGTTAAGTTTAGGGTAGAGGTTCAATTAATAAATGAAAAATGAATGGAAGTCAACACAAATTCCTCAGTTTCTATAGAAGTAAAATTATAACAATAAGACAAAAAACTTCAGGTCACATCAGTGTCACAAAAAGACTAAACAAGAAAAAAAAATGCATCTCCTCTTCACATTTATTTAGTTCATTTTTAGCCCAAAAACAAAAATTGTCTGAGCAATAAAAATTTGAGAAAAATAAATAAATTATAAGGACACGCATGTGTGTGTGTGGGTGTGCGTGTGCATGTACATCCTGCATAGAGAGGACTATTATAACCACTACCACCAACTAAAGTAGGTTGTTGTGGATAGCTTTTCTTTTTCAATTGGAATGTGCTTTGATAGTCAGTTCAAGAGATATTATATGAATTAAGTTTTAGCTAAAGGTAGAGCAGAGAATAGACTACTAATGGCCAGAAGCATAAATGCAATAACTAAAATCAATGGAAGTAAATACTGAGTCTGCAGTGGGATGGAAGCATGCGGATGTGTGTGTTTGGTACCTGGTAATGTCCTCTGTGAGCTGGGAAGGATCTGGGGGGTAGAACTTCACTGCAAAGGCAAACTGCCATGGAGAGTCTGTTGGAGGAGACGCTGCAGTGAGAACTACGACTTCAGACAAACTGGAAAATGTATTTCCCCATTATGGGTTTCTTGTTCTTACACTTACATATGTATTATCAAACTAATCTTAATGTCCAAAAATAAAAACTAGGGTAAATACAAAACGAATGACGGCTTATTAAGGGAAAATAACTATCCAAACCAACCCAGCAACTATTTGAAAAAAGTAATTCTTGTTGCCATAGAGCAGGGGTCTACTACAGCCGGATCTGGCCCGCCTCCTCATTTGGTCCTGCCCCTGAACGATACCAGAGAGCATTCAGTGTTTTTTTTTCATATATATGTGGATTTTT